ACCTCTAGCGTTATAAGCGCTAGAGAGCTAATTAACGCGCTCTACTAAGTTTCTAGATCTACTCTTATTATTAAATAGCAAGAGTATTACCTTTAAGTAGTAGAGAGATAGCTTATATAATAAACTTTAAGTAAACTAGAATTAGTATACTAGAGATACGCTAGAGAATACTAAGAAAACTATTATTACCTATATCTATACGCGAACTAAAGAAGACGCGTACTAGACTCTATTAGTAATACTATATACTATTAAGAATAGTAGCGTAGTAGTTTTCTATAATTATATTCTTAATTAGCTAGAGAGAAGCTATAGAGACTTATATAAAGAGCTAAACGCTTACTATAATTTCTAAAAGCTTTATTACTAAAGCGCTACTAACTTTACCTACTTCTAGAATAATTTCTTTTACCTTGTCTAGAAGCGCTAGCTTCTAGTAGATTAATAGGTAGAGAAGTTTTATAAGAAGCTACTAGAGAATATACGTACGTAGTTAGGTATATACTAATATTAATACGTTAATAACTATAATTACTATATAGATCTTACTTAAGACCTTACTTAAGAGCTTATCTCTAGAGAAGCACGCGTTACTACTAGAAAGGCTAAAAAGTATAACGTAATCGCGTTAATGCTACAACGCGCGCCTCTAGCTCTTCTAGATTTTCTAGTACCTAATAAAGCTCTAGTAATCTAGAAGCTAGTTACCTATTTTTAATACTACTAACCTAGCTACCTAAGCTATAATTACTCTAGAGCTTCTACTACGCAGAAAGCTATTAAGAACGTTAATTTAGAGAAGAAGCCTATAAAGCCTATAGAGCTATAAGTACCTAAGAATAACACGTTAGAATATAAATCTAATAATTTAGAAAAAGCCTAGCTCTAGAAGAAGTCTTCTCTCTAGAGCTATCTACTAGAGTAATTAGCCTGCGTGAAAAGCTATTTAGTAGTTCTACGTTTACTCTACTCTACTAAATCTCTATAAATAGCCTTATAATTAAGCTTAGAGGCTTAATTAATATAGAAGTAAGTAGCTACGTCTTAGTATACTTAAAGTACCTTTAAACTCTTAGAAAAAACCTTTACGTTAAGCTATTGCGTATAGAACTAATCCCTCTTACTAGGTATAATAGGTAACCTAATAGCTAAGTAGATAAGTATTTTAAAGCTAATCTAGTACTAGAAAGCTACTAAATACGTACCTACTTTATATATTATAATACTAGCCGCTATAATATAATAATTAGTTATAAGCTACTTAAAGAAGTTAATATTTAGGTTAACTATAAGTAGCGCGCACTAATATAGCTAGACACTAATTAATTAATTAATTATAAACGCGACGCGTTTATCTCTATATAATTCTCTTAATCTACTACTAAAGCTTAAGTAGCTTACTAAGCTAATACTAATTACCGCAACGCTCTAATATCTATAGTAGAAAAGCTAAGAGTAATATAATAAGAGAAGAGAGAATTGTAACGCTAGAAGCTTTAAGAAAACCTACGTAAGATAGATAGGTAGCTTAAGAATCTTAACCTACCTGCTAGGTTACTCTATAAGCTAAAAAAGCTACCTATTTTATAGGAAATATACTTAAAGGCTAGACTTAACGTTAATATAATTAGCGCGGCTACCTTTATAATTAACGCGCGTTAGAAAGATACTATAATTA